AACCACTTTAAAGTTGTTGAAGTCAGTGGCATAAAATTCACAATGTTGTGCAACCATCATCAGTGTCTGACTCCAGAATTTTTACATCATCCTCAAATGAAATCCAATACCTATTAAGTGGTCACTCTCTATTCTTCCTCCCCAGAAAGCTCTGGTCAACCACTAATTGATCTCTTTTCTACCATATATGACCTTGTGAGGCTGGTTTTTTCACTTAGCATGTTTTCACAGTTGGTTCACTTTGTAGTACAGGAATGACTCTTGGAAGATTCAACAATCAGGCCATCTGCAACACCATGTAGAACTAGATAACGTTCTTTTTGTTTGATTTATGTTCCAAACCAAAATATAGCCATGTTCCAGGACTCAAGGAGCGGCCTTTTGGAGTGGATCCTCACTTTTATAACAGGGGTCAAAATGTGTACAATATTGTTGTTTCCTGCCTCTGAAGACTTGGGCTTTTCACAAAGTATGTTTCCACCAGGGTATACCAGCAAGAATTCAACTACATTGGAAGTTGAGGTTGCCACCTGGCTATTTGGAATTGCTTGTCTATTTAACCAACATACCAAGAAGAGGATTATTTTTCCTACCTAGACTGATTCTATCCTAAAGAATTTAATTGATCGTATCAGACTGCTATAAAACACGAAAGAGAGAAGCATGCATGGAATACAAAAAATTCTTTGGAGCTGTTACTTAGTACTTAACATTCTAGGCTTTGTACAATAAGTTAATAGGGACGTACAACAATACAATTAGAAACTAGTACTTTAGATGCTTCAGGAATAGAGGTTTGGGTTGCTCCTCAAAGAAAGGAATCAGTACCAGCCAATAGCTTGCTGAGTGCCATGGGGATATGAAATAGGTATGAGGAGAGAGAAGGTAGACATGAGAACATTATTAGTCACAGGAACATTTTCTTAACTTGTGTGTCCTAACTTGTGTTAATAGTAGGTATTCTTGTACAATAGTACATAGTTCTAGAATATTAAAAGGACTTATCAAGAGGAGGAAAGAACATCATTCAAAGAAGACTGCATGAAATGATTATTTTATTCGGCACATATTGTCTATCTATCTATTTTGGAGTGGAAGTGAGAACTAATTTTGGTTGCATGAAAGCTGCATTGTATGTGCAGAAGTATGATTCTGCTATATGCTTTATTGAAAATTATATATAGTAAGTGTATAGATATTAAGGTGTTTTGAGACAACTGTATTGCCCAAGCTAGCCTTGAATGCTAGATCCTCCTGACTCAACCTGCTAAAGTACTGGTATCACAGTAATGTACTACTTTATCAGGTGGATGGTTTTGTACTGTCAACTTTGCTGAGCTGAAACATTTCCCAAACTATTTTTTCTTTATGGTGCTAGTGTGTCAACTGGATAAAACAGGAACTTGCAAGATTTGGAAAATGGATGTAAAGACCCTTAGAAGATACATGCAGGGTCCTATGTAGCATTATAACTTGTGTACCTGTTTGTTGATCTGCTGACTCACCTGATTGTCAAGGAGCAGTAGCCCAGCCTTCAGTGTCTTTAGCATCTCTGCATTGTCGGGTATATGCAAAGTTCATTGGCTAAGGCACCAGCTGCTTCTGTACATTGTGTCATTGGTGTTAGATGCAATGAAAGACATAGGTTCATTTATTCTCATAGGTTCCAACTTGTCCAAGTTGCTTCTTACTTTGCATCCAGCTTTCCTTCCCAATCTGCCTATAATGCTGGCTTAGTAACTTCCAGATCACTGTTAAATATCGAGGCAACAACCTTTCATAGACCCCTTTATGGAGATTTAGAGACTGTTCTATTGTAGCCATCTCTTCCTGACCTTTACTACTCAGCTTCTCTATGATTGTGTATTGCAATAAATAATAAATTTCTATCATTTATTGTGTATCACTTTTAGTGATTCTGCGTCTTTGAACTAATTTTAATATCAATACTGATCTTGGTAATTTTTGTTCCCTATAACCTTCTTGGCTAATTTTATATTCCTTTATTCACATGATCTTAGAATCAGCTGTGTACTGTGTGCTGAGGTCATATTCAATGCATAGATTAACTTAACAGTAAATCGATATTTTTAAGTAGGTTAAGACCTGCTTCCAAGGACATTCTTTCTAAATATATTGGTCTACTTTTATGTTTTTCACATTTAAGTTTCTTTACAGAATTCTTGCATTTTTGACTAGGTTTATTTTTAGGTACCTATATTTTTGTTGCTTTAGGTAACAGGATTATGCTTGTTAAAGTTTATTCTCTGATGGCTTATTTTATGTGTCAAATTGGCTAGGCTATAATGCCCAGTTCTTTGGTCACACAGTGGTTAAAATGTTGCTGTGAAGGTATTTGTGGATGTGGTTAACATTTATATTCAGCTAATTTTAACATAAATATGCCTATTTAAGTGGGTGGGTCTCATATAATCAGTTGATAGCCCTAAGAACAAAGATCCAGGTTTCCTCCAAAAGCAGCAATTCTGTCCAAAATAGAAGCCCTTCCAGGGGCATTGTGGTACACATCTATAATTTCAGCAGGCAGAAGATCATGCCAGCCCAGGCAAAGTAAACTTAAGGCCCTATCTGCGTAACAAATTTAAAATGCAAAGGATCAAATGTATGGCCCAAGTGATAGAACACTTGTCTAAGAATCCTTAAATTCAATCCCCACTACTAGGAGAAAAAAAAAGCTTGAGTTCTAGCCATTCGTTTGCTCTGGTTTAGACTCAAGACCATAATACACACCAACTTTTAAATTTCCAGCCTGCTGGTCTGCCCTATAGATTTCAGTCTTGCTAAAGTCCTGTAATTGTGAGCCAATTCTCTGAAATCTCTAAATACACACATACACACACACAAATTGTTTCTAGATTCTCCACACACATTTCCCAACCAGTTTTGTGAGACACTGCATGGAACAGTAGACAATATGTGGCTCTGAAATCACAGACAAGAGTTCACTGAGGAAAACAAATTGTTTTTGGAACCTGATTCCTTATCTACAGAATTGGAAATTACCTAAGCTATGTAGTTATTGTGTTGGGTGAAATTAAAAATCATATGTAGAAGACCTGTCATGGGTCATAGCTGGCAATGAGTATACAGTAACCTACTAGGCTAAAGAGAGATGTACTGTTTGGTTATCTAGTTTAGTGCTTTGAGTCTAAGTGTTCAATCAACTTTAGTCTTACTATTTCATGTGCCGTGGTTTTTTTTTTTTTGTCACATCTTTAATAGCTTAGGAATATCATCTTTTGGGTTGTTAGATGTACAAAGTATTGAAGCACTGCTTGAGATTAGTTCTTGGGACTTATTTATGTAAGGTGTAGGGCAAGCTTGTTTCCATGAGTCTACTTTTCATTTAGACACTGATTACCTCATGAGCTTTTTGTGAGAAGTAAGTGTGGTTACATATGAGAAACTCCTCAGCATAACCTCCGGCACAAAATACGTGCTCTATATATCTACTAGCTGTTATGGGAGTTAATTGGGGTTTAAAGAGAGTTGGATCAATTGTTACACTGAAGGAACTTAGTTTTTCACCATCTAGTGAAGACAAACCCAAAAGACCACAGTGAGGTTATATTTCTTTTAGCAGTGAAGAGCAGACATGTAGAAAATACACTGGTATAGTTCAAACAATATAAAAGATCCCATATCGGTAGCTCAAGCCTGTGAGTGGAGGCTGGGATCTGAGGATGGAAGCTAGGCCAGAAATAAAGCTGTGGCTCAAGCAGTAGAGTGTTTGAATAGTCCAGGTCAGAAAAATCTAAGGGACAGCATCCAGGCCCTGAGTCAGTACTTACACAACAAGGTTTAGAGAGAGCAATTCCATGGAGTGATGATAAAAGGTCTCACAGACTTTCCCTCATCCATGTGCACTTCACACCTGGTTTTGTCACTGATAGGAGGCTGTGCCATACTTTCAAAGGCCTGCCACCTTGGAAAGGCCCAGTCATCCCAAGTAAGTGTGAGACTGGATGTTCTGAGAACTGAGTTATATCAGTTTTGCCAGCAGGGGAGAGCTTCTTCACGATGAAGTACTAGAAGACTGGAAGGCGATACAAACAATCCCTTCTAACTAAAAAGCTTGGATGGGCTAAGGGAGAAACGTGAGACAGATGAACAAGCAAATTACACATTGTTTGCCAAACAAACCAATTACTCTTTACTATCTCTCGCTTTCTGAAAATCAAAATAACACATTTTTGGTTAGAAAGGCATGCAGTCTCCGTTTTTCTTTGTCTTAATATCATCCCTTTTCTTCTTTTTTAATTGCACACAGACTTCGTTCCCAGTATGGGTTCCCCCCCACCCCCCATTCCTCATTCGAGTGAATTCTTGGCTCCCCACCCCGCCCTGCAGCCCCAGTGGCCGCGGGGCCTCACCTGCCAACAAGCGCAGGGGCCCGGCCCAGCCGGGGCACTGGCAGTGACGTAGCGGGAGGACGGAGCCCGCGAGGCCTGCTGACGTCACTGCCGCAGCGATCCCGGGCGAAGCCCCAGAAGTGGGGGTTCTGGAAAGGAAAGCCGGCGGGGCGCCCGAGCTTTGGGTTTCTGGGTTCCGCGAGCCTAGATGGCGTGCGCTCCCGTGCGGGCCGAGCCCACCCCGCACCCTCAGCGCTCTGGAACCCAAGTTTAGCACCAATGGGGATGTCCCCCTCCAACTGCGGGGCCCCGAGCGCACGCGCCTTGGGCTGCGGAGAGCACGGAGACGTGTGGCGCGCGGGGACCGGGACCCGACGCGGGGCTGCGGCGAAGGTCGTCGGCGCCCTCGCGGTGAGCGCGTCTCCTCAGGCGCTGCGGCGGCGCGGGGCGCTGGGCCTGTGGCGCGGCGTCGTGACGTCAAAGTGGCGGCGGCCGTGGTTGGCGCAGGGTCCGCGGCTGCAAAGTGTGAATTACGCTAGGCTCGCGCGGGCGGCGGAGTGAAGTCAGGCTCCGGGGAGGGGCGGGGAGGGGAGGGAGGGAAGGAGGGGAGGGGCAGGGCTCCGGCGGCGGCGGCGGCGGCCCGAGCTGGTCGCTGATCCCGCGCGCCCGGGAGCTGGCCGCTGCCTTCAGCCGTCCTTGCCTGCAACGCTTCGCTCGGTTCGTGCTCCACGGCTGCTCGGAGGTCTCCAGAGCCGCGCCTCCCGCCCGAGGAGCGCCGGGGGTGGCGGGGCTCCCTTCTCCGACTTAGCCGGCGTTGCCCCGCTTGCAGCCGGTCCTGCTCGCTCCGGAGCCGGGCGTGCACGTATCTTGGTCCCAGGCGCCGCGGCCGCGGCTGCGTCTTCCCGCTGGGAACCGAGGCAGAGGGTTGGGGTCGAGCAGACTCGAACGCGGCTTCCCGGCTCGGGGTCGGCGCCCGCCCGCCCTGCCCCGGCCTGGGCCCGGTGTCCCCGAGCCGCGGCCCCCTCCCGGTGCAGGGGCTGGCGGCCGCGGCAGGGCGGGCGCCGGGCGGAGGCAGGGCGGGCGTATTCAATGGAAGTATGCTACCAGCTGCCGGTGCTGCCCCTGGACAGGCCGGTCCCCCAGCACGTCCTCAGCCGCCGAGGGGCCATCAGCTTCAGCTCCAGCTCCGCGCTCTTCGGCTGTCCCAATCCCCGGCAGCTCTCGCAGGTAATCGCCGCCAACCCACCCCGGGAGGGAGCCCCACATGGGGGGGGGTGTCTCTTTTGTTTCCCTCCGCCCACCCAGCTTCACCTCCGTGGCTCCCCAGCCTTTGCCGCGCACCCCAGCTAGCCCCAACCTTGTCTATTGTTCGGGGGAGGTTGGGGTTGGTTCCTCGATCCGACAGCCTCTTCATCCTTGTGGCAGTGCACCCTCGGTCCTCAGGCCTCTTCTTACCCCGCTAGTCCGGTGGAAACCCTTGAGACCCTCCCCAGGCCCGGCACTCGGTGCCCAGCCGTTTACGCCTCTGGAATGACTTTGTCCGCCGCCACCGCCTTCTCCACATCGCGGTCGGGAAGTTGGGCCCTTTTCTTAAGCTAAGATGTGGAGCACACCTGTTTCCCCCCCCCCCCCGACACCCATCTGCACGACCCTCCCCATCCTTCCTCCCCCCCCCCCCCCCCCCCCCGTATACCACGCTCACACCTGTGCGGGGCTCGCGCCCTCGGCACCAGCTCCCGCGCGCCCCGTGGAGCTCTGTTGGTCCTGCAGGTTTGCAGAACAATAGGCCCAGAGGTCCCGTTGTCGTCTTCTCCCACTCCTGCGTTTCTGCAGATGGGCCTTAAGCAGTGGACCAAGGCTGCATTGCAAAGTTGATAGCCACACATGGCTTCTGATTTCAAATTTATAAGGTTTTAGGAGAGAAACCACTGATGGGCACTCACAGAAGACTTTGCTTCAGTGGTCCAATACCAATTGCTCCTGAGAATTTCTGTTGTTTTTTTTCCCCCCATGATGATGCCCTTGGTCCAAATCCATAGTTTTCTCATCTTGATTGTCAGCCAGATTTGTAGTAGAGAAGCAAAAATGAATTTTTCTTTGTTTGCATATGAACTGAATGTACTTTTTCGCCTGCTGCCAGAAGTTCTGACTTTGGGAAGAGGGGTGTTAATGGGGTCTGTAGCATGCCTCAGTCTCATTCGGGGCCTGGAGTATACTAGACAAGGCTCTATCACTGGGCCACATTAATTTTAATTTTAAGATTAGGCTTCTGCTGAGTTACCCAGGCTATCCTTGAATTTCTGATCTTCCTGCCTCAGCCTCCTGAGTAGCGGGACTATAGGTATAAGCCATGAGCCACACCATGCCAGAACTCAGGACCACTTCTATCATTTGTGGGGCTGCAGTTGTAATCCGGGGCTTTGTGTATGCTAGGTAAGTGATCTACCATGGAGCTACATCCCCAAACACTTTTCAAATCAAATATACTCTTGATATTAATAGCTTTAATGGGAGCGTATTTTTCTCTCCTCAGTTACACTGCAAGTGTCTTGAGCAAGTTATGGACAGCACCTTGTAGAGATTTTACTTATAATGGTTGTTCACTATGTATAACTCGTCTTTTACTCTTTTTATGCCTAAATTGTTTGTAAAAAGAGCAAGAGCTTCTATTTGAGTTTCTGAGTTCTTTTTATTTAAAATCATACTTTCACAGTGCAAGATGGCATGCTAATGGGATCTGTGTAGACTTGTGAAAATAATTAAAATATTAAGTGGTATTTCAAACAATGCTATGTTGTTACTTTTGAAGGATGGATCTGTGATCTGCATTTTTAGTGCTGTTTAAAGCCTTTTTAGGTTCTCATGTTGAAAGGATACTAAGGCACTGCTGAACAGGTTTTTAATGGTAGTAACTTTCTCACTTCTAAACACTGTTTTTCATTTTCAGATCAGAAGACACATAACTAATTCACACTTCCAGTTAGGTCTGAACAATAATGGCAGTCGCTGATATTTATAGAATTATAAAATATGTATAGTGTTTTTGTGCTCCCTGAGGAAAAAATGAATGAAAGAGAAGATTCCAAGGGATTTAAAACAAGGCTGATCCCAAGGGTTTTACCTGATGTGTTAATTAATCCACAGAGTCCAACTTTAAGCTCCATTATTTCTTGACTCATTTCCTAGATTTAAGTGGGTAATGGAATTTTGAAAATATGATTGCACTGTATAAGGTAAATACACCATACTTATATGTTATTCTGTATTTTACTACCACTTAAACTTTTTTTTTATTGTGAAAATACTGTACAGAGGGGTTACAATTACATGGGCAAGATAATGAGTACATTTCTTAATCAAGCATTGTAGCCTCCTCCTTTGTTTCCCCTTCCCATCCCTTCCCATCCCTCCCCCACCCCACCCCCACTTAAACTCTTTTAAGTTTCTAAACCCCTAAGTAAGTATACAAGAACTTCTTAAACTTAGGGCAGATATTTTCCTGAATTAACATTTTTTGATCAACATTATTTAGTGTTACAATGATGATAAGCTTACCAGGTCAATGAGATGAGCATATTAAGGCTTTGTGTATCATTTGGTAATAAAGTGTGTGTTGATATTGACTTCTTTGGGAGAGTAGATGGGAGTTTGTAATAGAATAAAGGACACCTTCTTGGAAATGGAGAAGTTATTTAGAGCTCTATGAAATAAATATTTGTTTTCATCAAAAGCTTTCTTTACTGTTGAATGTTTAGTTCCTAGGACTAAAAGTACAGTAATTATAAATCTGTATGTAATTCTGTAATTTTATTTAGTAGTCATAAACGTTTCTCTTTAAAACAAACAAAAAAACCAGATTAAATAGCTGGTGCCAGTGGCTTACATGTGTAATCCTAAATTCTCAGAGAGATTGAGATCTGAGTAATCATGTTCAAAGACAGCCCCAGTAGAAAAGTCCATGAGATTCTTATCTCTAATTAACCACCAAAAATGAAGATATGGAGTTGTTATTCAAGTGGTAAAGTGCCAGTGTTGAGTAAAAAAGCTAAAAGACCATGCCTAAACCCTGAGTTCAAGCCCTCTTTGGGAATACCTCCTCCCCCAAACTAAACTAAATAATTATTTTTTAATTACAATTTTTCTGTTTTAAACTGTGTACAAAGCTAGCATAGATAATGAAATCACCTTTGACTGGCATTAGTTTTAAATATGAAATCAGTGTAAGAATATCAAAGTAGAACAGTGTCTCAGTTATCCAAAATTTGGTTTAGAACTTGTAATATCAAACAGATCCAGAAAGTAAGCAGAAGATGTTGAACATCCAAAATAGCATTAGAGATCCTCTCAAAACCTTTGAGATTTAGACTAATTGTCTAAGTAACAGAAAACCTGAAGTGGAATTGGAGGCAGCTACAGGCTGTTCTCACTGATAGAAACCAAACCAAAGTTGACAGCAGACTGCCAAAGCCAGGGATGGGGGGAAAAAAACAAACAAACAGACAACCAAGCCAGTAAGACTTAAAAGTCACCCTGGGGATATTTTATTTAGGGACTTAAGTGTTGTATAACACAATCATCATTAGTCAAAATAATGCCCTCCAGAGTCTCTTTTTAAAAGTTGAAGATTTTGTTTTTTGTTTTTGGTCGGTGGTGGGCCCTGAACTGGTCTGGGAGCTGTCCCTCAGCTCAAGGCTAGTGCTGTACCACTTGAGCCACAGTGCCACTTTCGGCTTTTTCTGCTTATGTGGTCCTGAGGACTTGAACCCAGGGCCTCATGCGTGCAAGGCAAGCACTCTACTGAGCCACCTTCCCAGCACCTTCTATTTTAAAAAAAAATTTTATTGTATAGATGCTGTACAGAGGGGTTACAGTTACATGAGTGAGGTAATGAGTACATTTCTTGTCGAACATTGTTACCCCCTCCTTTGTTTCTCTCCTACCATTCCTTTCTTCCCCTGCCTCTCCCATTCCCTCCCCCCTCCCCTCCAGAAGTTGTAAAGTTCATTTCCAACAGTGTCTTGTGGTACCATTGTTGCAATGGGTCATCCTGTGTCCTTGTTTCAGCATTTTGTTATTCCCCTTCCCCCAGATTTTCTTGCCAGTTTAAGTGTTGGAACTTAAATGGACAAATCTGAGTTGTCCAGAAAATTCATTTATATGGAACACTAGGATGAGGCATTGACTTTTTGTTTTAAATCAGATCATACATCCTTTTTAAGTGGTTATTAGGAGTTTCTTGAATTATTTGAGTAATAAGTGAATCCTGGTTTGGGTTTTTTTTTTTTTTTCCATTTTTGGATATCTATTGTTGATAGCTGAACTTAAATTTTTGCTTTTCAGAATTAAATTCGTCTTTGAGAAGAATATTACAAAGGCAGAAAGTATGTTTTGTTCACCACTGGTGTTTTGTACGGATAGGTGCTCAATAATTGTGGAAGCTGGATTAATGCATTGGTGGGAATGCCAGGGCACTACTAAACTTCATGGTTATTTCAGTTAGATTTTTTTGTACCCAAGGAACAAATATCCAGACTATAAATTTAAGATTTAATTTAGAAAAAATATCATTAAAATATAAATTGTCTTAATTTAGAATCTGTCTATGAAAAATTATTTTGTACTGGCTGGGGCTTGAACACAAGGCCTTGTCAAACTCTTGCTTAGCTATTTTGCGCAAGGCTGACCCTCTGCCACTTAAGCCACACCTCCACCTCTATTTTTCGCTGGCTATTTAGGGATAAGTCTTTTGGACTTTCCCACATAGGCTGGTTGAGATCTCAGCCTCCTGAGTAGCTAGGATTATGGGCATGAGCCACTAGCACCCAGCTTAAAATCTTGTCTTTGAAGAAGACATTTTATACCATAAAATATTAACTCTTTCGCCAATATTTTCTCACAAAATATCTATAGCCTACTTGTATTAGAGTTTTAAAAAAAATGTAAAGAATCACATCCCCAAGCTGTGCATGATGGCTCAAACCTGTTACATAGCTGCTTGGGAAGTAGGGATCAAGGGATGAAGGACAACCTGGGCATATTAGTGAGATTTATTGTGATTGGTCACTAGACATAGAGGCATATATTTGTCATTCCAAATGATGAAGGAAAGCACAGAGGATGGCAGTCCTGAGACACTATCTCAAAAAATAACCAGTGCAGACACAGCTGGTTAAGTGGCTCAAGTGATGGAACACCAGTCTGTCAAGTATGAGGCCAAGTTCAAATTTCAGTACTGCAAGAAACAAACAAAAATCAGTCACCACTTGGAGATGTAGCTCAATGGTAGAGCACTTGGATGTGTAATAAATGTGACCTGATTTGCAACTCTGTCACTGATAAGGAAAAAAAAATCAAAAACAAAATCCACTTTACCACCATTCTAACTAACTTTTCCTTTATATGTGTTACCCTATCTATACACAGATATTTTCCAGTTATGGTCATTGTGTCTATAATTGTGTTCGTCAGTGCTCATAATATATGGAAGCTTATCAGAGTCCGCAATACACAAGAACAATTTTACCTTTAGAGCTGGCAGAGTTTTACATGCCTGTAATCCCAGAATTTGGGAGATGGAAGCAGGA